TATAACTTAAATAGAAAAAATAAAATAGAGAACTAATAACATCTATATATATATATATATATAGGACATAAAACTAACATCATTCTTTCGAGCAATATAATATCACTGTTGATATCATACTAATTTTAAAACAGATATACATGTAACATACTTCTCTTCGTATCAACAATTAACATCAATGAAGATCCGTAACGATGAATGGAAAACATACGGGTAGAACCACGTACAAGACTCCAAAGATGAATGCGTGGAAGTCTTATGATGACAATGGAGGATTGGCATTGTAATACTTTAACGGAACGATAACGAGACAGACGATTTACCCGTAGATGCCGCCGGTTCAATTGAACGGCATGCAGACAACGTGGCCGTTGGTCACTGCGAAATAGAGAACGACGTGTGAAATGGGTATCGTGATGTACCGACCGGATGCCACTTCCTGCTTACCACGTCTGCGTATCATTGTAACGTACACCGTATCTAGCGATGGGAATAAGATAATTCGAAACTTTTTGAGACTTACTCTGATTTTCATCTGTCATGACAAAATATTATTATAAATAATTTTCTCGTCGTTGATAACAAATATGTAAATATAATTTAATTTTAAATAATTCTTTCATCTGATCTTAATAGAAAAATAGTATATTTATTCAATGATAATGATAAACTTCAATGATATTAAATTAGCTAATTAATCTATTTGTGTAAATATCTATAAAACTCAAATGCGAGAAATCTGACAAGATTAATAAAAACAAATTTGATTTTAATACAATCTATACATATCATAAAGTTTATAATTATTTTCCATTTCAACCGGTCTTTCTTTCCATTTAATGTCACATGAATAAAAAAAGAACAAACTGAAAGTTAGTGGGTAATGCAGGAAGTAGCAGAGTCGACACACGAGTGTATCGATAAGCGGTTTCCGATAGATTTGATCTATTAACACTTCCTTCTTATCAATGTTTTGTATATCTAGAAAACATGTATTAAATTAACAAAGTTTTAAAAACAAGAAGTTCGTATAGTAATATGAAATAAAATTTCTATTAACATGTGTTAATAAGGAGGAAAGGAAGACGGGAAGAAAAGAAGGAAAAAAATCGGTAAGCAGTATTGGAAACAACAAGGTTCAAATTTTGTGATAATTGATTTATAATCGTGATTTTCAGGTATCAATTTCCGATTATACTATTTTCTCTCTCTCTCTCTCTCATCTCTCCTTTCCTTTATAGTCGACTTTCGTCTCATTCCTCCACGAACTATAAATTGTGTTATCACAACTATGCCAAAAATGCAAATCAACGAGTGAAGCCTTTCTAAAGAGGTTGGAATGCAACGCGCTCGAAAGTCCTGGAAAGGCCTGTCCTGCAATTGCGATAGATGTAATGGCGGCCGCTCCATCAGAAGAAAAATCCTTTTAGATTGCAATGGCGATTTATTTTTGATACTATTCGGCAATCAATTGTCTATAGAAAATATTTTTAATGATAACTTTTTATTATTTTTATTATTTCAATAAAAAATCATTCATCTAATAATTATGATGATATTGCGAATGAATAATATTTTATTTTTTTTATGAAAAAAATTATGCATTTTTATTTTCGATAGATTGATTGTTATATTGTTTTTTATTTTTAAAGGAAATTATATTATATTATATTATAAAATAAAAATAATAAATAGTAAATAATAATAATTAATTATAATTTATTATAGTTAAATTATAGTAAAATTATTTGTAATTTTCAAGAAAAATTAGACTATTTTTAGATTTCTTTTTCTACATTTTTTTTAGATAATAATTTTCAAAAAATAATTTTAATTAGTTATCAATTAGTTATATAGTTTGAAAAATATATTGTAATATTTATAATTATCATGCAGAGATGATAAGAAACAAATATTTTTATATTCTAAAATTTATTAAATTTATTTTCTATTAGAGAAAATAAAAGAATTTGCTATATTTAAATATTTACAATAGGAATTAAATATAAAATTTCTTCAGTTACATGATATTTTTCTTGGAGTATTATATATATTAAAAATATCTTGTTGAAGAATCCTTATGAAGTTTTCATTAATTGCGGTTGAAACTTGTTTCAAGCAAAATGTTATCTTATCGTTACATAAGTAATCATAATGGTGTTTCGAATTTACGTCAATAAGAAATGAACAAGAGTCGAATGAGAGAAACGCGTTTACAATCATTTATAATGAAACTTCTGCACTATTATTATTTGATGGTACAATTTCGCAGAGGTCAAGCACGATAGATAAAACGTATACTTACAATCACTTACAAATACTTACAATTCACATTCATATACATATATTTACATATATATATATACATAATTCGTTTTTACGTGAATATATGTTGCAAGATAAGTTGATAAAAAAAAATTGATTTGATAAACATCAAATTTTTCAAGTAATATCACTTTAAGAAACATTTTAATTTATGCAAATGAATTATAATTAAAATTATATATATATTATATATTATATATATTATATATATATGCTATTTAATGTTAATTATATATGTTATTTTATTATTTCATCTTTTTTTAATTATAAACTTCATTGGTAAAAGAACAATTAAAAAATTAAATATATATCGTATCTAGAAATATCTTGAAAAATTAGAAATATTTTTGTAACAAAGATTTAATATATATCAAACGAAATTACAAATATAATTTTTAATAATGAAAGATTTTGGTAACTGGTAAATTTTTAAAAATCAATTAATTCAAATCTGAAATTTATATATCATGTATAATTTTGTCATAAATAAAATCTGGATAAAATAAAATATTTAAGAAATAATTCAACAAAAGAAATTAAATTAAAAGTATTACTTACGAACAAAATTTTTATAAATTTACCACAATATTTGTATGTTAGCATCATCTAGTGTTACGATACCGAGAATATTGTGTTAATTGAGACTAACTCTAGCGAAAATATTATAAGATTTTAACGAAAGTATAAATATTTCTTTGCTTCTTTGAATTTTATTTAAACGATATCAAAAATTTCAATGTTTCAATTTAATAAAACATTTAATAAAATATTTTTTAGAAAAAAGATATCTCCATATAATAATATTTGTAAAATTGTAAAAAAAATTCATTTGTAAAAAAATACTATGATAGCTTCAACATATGTTCAGATTTAATGATTTTAACTAGACACATTTTGAGACTAATCTTTGAATTTTCCTCTTTTTTGTTTTGTAAATAATTTTGAATCTATATATTATAATTAAGGCCTATTTGTGAACAAATTTATCTGGCAAGTGACCAACTGATTGTGCTTACTGCTAATACGCAGACTTACAAGAGTCGCTGTAATATGTTTACTAAAAACATTAACTAACATGAATTTGCTGTGCAAATGATTCTAATTAGGATAGTAGCGTTGAGTGTGTTGTACGCTTATATGTGTATATACATATTATGTTACGTAGAATTATTTGCGAGTGTAACAATTTTTATTCTAAAAATATTGAGGAAAATTAGCATAGAAATGATTATAATGATAAATGTTATCAAGAATTAGTTTTATCACAAATAATAATTCTTATTATTATATAAGTGAAATATAAACTTTATTATTTTTTTGTAAAAGTTGGTCATTCTCAGCATGTTTACTAAAAAAAGACAATTACCATGAATATCTCTTGAAATACTCGCATTAATTTCTCTAATGATGATTTCAATTTTACTATATTTTGTCATATTGACAAATGTTACGCTTTATGTGACTATGCTTTCAATTACGATTGCACGTTCTGTATTCCTGTACTGCAGGGCTAAATTTAGAGACCAACCGTATCTAAAAAGATTTGTGTGGTATTGTGATTGTGATTAAATTCGATGAAGATCTTCTAGGTACATTTTTTTTTATGAAATAAAAAAATCATTATTATTGATCCGTAAGATAATACTACTGTTATCGAATTTTTTTATTACTCTTTGTATAGTTTTGTCTGCTTCGTCCAATTATTTTTTATAATATAAAAAAATTAGTTAATTTGAAAGCACTTGAAAAAAATTGAACTTTTAAAATTTTTATTTATGCAAAATAATAAATTATGCGTTTTGAAGATTTCTGACAAATGAATTAAAATATTTTAGAATTTGTTTATTCTTAATTTTGAAAAATTTTTTGTTCTAATGATTTATTATATATATATTATAAATATTTTATCAGATCTGATTTTATAATCTTATTATTTATTTTTAGCAATTAATAGTTAAATATAAACATTTTTATAAAAACAAAAAAATCAATTATATTCAATATATAAAATATCATAATTATGGAATCTTGTTCTATTGAAAGGTTTCGATTTGCATGTTGGTTTTTATTAATGATGAATATTTAAATAAAATAATCAAATATCCTGCAAATCAAGTAATTGTTTTCTTTTCATATTTCATAAGATACAGATAAATCGATAAATAGAATCTTTCAATGAAGATGATCAAATTAACCTGTTTGTTACGTTTCAGGGTACAAACGGTCCAAGACCGACGTATGTAGGTGCTAACAATGGAAACGCCGGTGGCGCCGGTGGTGGCGGCGGTGGAGGTGGTGGAGGCGGCGGTAGTGGCGGTAGCGCTACGGGTGGTGGCGTCGGTGTAGGTCCAGCGAGTGGTGGCGGCGGTGGCGGAGGTGGTGGTGGTGGCGGTGGCGGTGGTGGAGGCGGGCACGGATTGAAGGGGAACACTGGTGGCGGGCCACGAGGCGGGAACCCGGTGCAGTATCGTGCGAGCGGTGCCGCGGCTTGGGGCGCAGCGCCGCCCTCTCACGCGGCTGCGGCTGCGGCTGCGGCGGCAGCGTATCCACCGTACACGCGGTATCCAAGCGCAGCGGCTGCAGCTGCGGCCGGCCAGATGCCCGTCGGAGCACAGCAACTACCGCCTACGGCGAATCCTTACGCCACCGCCACCTACGCACAGCACGCGTCGGTAAGTCCTCCTCTCCTTTTCATTCCTGACCAACTCGAACTTTATATTGGATTGGAAACATGCCATTTTTCCTATAACCAGTCGTTTTCATTTTGCACATGGTATAATTTTTTCAATCATTATATAGACATGAACATATAGGTTTTTAAGTATTTTTAATATTAATAAATTGGTTATTATTTATACAGATGTAATCGAATTTTTTAAAAAAATAATTGATATATTATTTTAATTTTTTCATTTTTTTATTCTGAAAGAAGAATATTGAAATTTAAATTTAAAAAATGATAAATTAATTTTTCAATTGTTTGGTAAATTTGATTATTTTATAGTAAAACAAAAGGGTTGATATTCCTTATTGGATTACGTGCAAGTTGATTGTAAGAGAATGGTGGTTGTTGAGAATGATTGTTGGAGAATTGGGTAGCACAAATGTCTTACATGTTTCGTGCGGTCAACAAGGTAACCTATAAACTGTAGTTGAAATATATGTGTTTCATTTAATGATTTAGATTTTATCATGAATTTACTTCTATAGAAAGAGTTTCAATAAAATAATTATGATTTTATTAGAGAAATACGCGTGCAGACAACACAAAAGTTAGGATTTGCGCAGCGAAAGGGTTAACCCTTCTTAAACCGGGTGGGGCCATGACAACGTAGCAGACAGTTCTTATAGAAACAATGTGCAAATTTTTCTGATTATTCGTTCTTTTTATCTTTCATTGAAAGTTCTTTGTTTT